GACTTACTAGTTATGCTATAAGTCTCCAAATCAAATCTCTACGTTTCTCTTTTAAATCCCACAGAAGTTTTTTCTAGATCTTAAAACAGTTAAAAGAAATCTTTGTCCGTTTTTCTATTAGATTATATTCCTCCCCACCCCTGGCTGACTGTCAACTTCCCTCATTTCATCCACTTTAAAACTGCAGTCCTAGCAGCTTATGGCTTGGTGAGCATGTCAAAACAGGGTTATGTTTTCAAAAATTAAACTTGAAACCTTGCTGAGCTCTAAAATATCCTTTGGCAAGGACATGGCTATAGGATATTTTCCCCTCTGAAACTTCAGAAAAGATGTTAATTTTTATCATTAACATTGTTCATCTGTTCATTCATTCTTACTTATTTATCAAAAACTATATCATGTACTAAATGCTAAGAATATAGAAAGGAAATATACGCCCTCCTGCTCTCAAACACCTGAAAGTTTACTGAAGTCACAGACACAAACACAGACACACACAGAATTACACTACTGTGTGCTAAGATCTTAATGTTTGTAAGCTCAAGTATATGCAGGGAAATGTGCTAATTCAATAGCTTTACATTTTAACATGCCACTTAAAATCCATGACAAAGTACAAATTAATCATTTTTATTCTTTTATAAGGTTCTTAAAGTGATTTATCCTTAACAGAAACTATAGATCAGAAATACAGGAAAAGTTTGGCCCAACGTGACTGCTATGATGATTAGCTTAGGTAGGGAAAATGTCATTTAGAATTTAGTAAGTCAGGGCCCGGGGATGCTTACACCACCTGTCATTCTCTCTTAACAGCTCTGAACTTGGTCAACTACTTAGAATATTATTGCACCATCTTTCAATCTCTGGCTGCGGTAGCTTAACACAGTCACTGACACTTTTTTTTTTTCCCCTGCAATCTAAGTTGGTATGGACAAGCATTTTTGAAGGCAGCCCTAAGGCCAAGGAAAATATTTATATCTACTGCCATTCAGAGAGTAACTGAGCCAATAACGCATTTGATAGATCTTGCACTTTCCCCATTATGTTTCTGAGCTTCCTCTGGGTATTCTATGAAAGACTGTAGATGTTCTTAATCAAGAAAAACAACATATTTCTTCCATCATTCTGTATTTGCTATGTTTTCATTTACACAGATTTCATGTCAAGTGATATTGAAGTTTCAAAAATATTTTCTTTACCCACTGGAACATGTACAATGGTTCTAATGTATTGGTATTCATTGACCACATTTAATTAATTTTGATAGACTAGGAGATGCATTGTGGCTTTGCATGTAAACATTTTCTTTCTTAATATAAGACTACATGAAATTCAGGCATTGCCGGTGCAGTTAAAAAAGCAAGTACCTAGCAAAGCTCCAGTGTGAATATAAAAATCCCAATTTCCTTATAGTTGAAAACTATGTGAAATGCTGAAGTGTCCAAGATACTAATTGAATTTCATTATTTCAGTATGGAGAACTCTATTTCTAAGGCTTCCTGACAGTCCCAACTCTTCGTGCTTTGAAAACCTCTCTAAGATTTGTTAGATGATAGATAAGTAAAGAAAATAAGGGGAAATGAGATATTGAATCTGTCAATATCTACAGAGTACAAACTACACAAAGAGTTTGATTTAAGCAACTAAAAATATCTTTTGGTTAAAGAATTAAGTAGGGAATCCGTTATATTCTCATCCATTATGTTTTCTCACACCTGAAGTGGAAACTAATTCAGGGCTATTGGAGGGGGGAGCAAGAAATAAAAATGGGCTAACTCATCAAGTATATCATGGAGATGAAAGTACTAAAGAACTCACATCTTTCCACTGTGAAAACATTTTTAAAGATTTATTTATTCATTTATTTGAGAGAGAGAGAGAGAGAGAGAGAGAGAGAGAGAGAGAGAGAGCATGCGTGCACAGGGGGAGAAGCAGAGGGAAAGAGAGAGAGAGAATCTCAAGCAGATTGCCCACTGAGTGCAGAGCCTGACTCGGGTCTTGATCTCACAAACCTGAGATCATGACCTGAGCCAAAATCAAGAGCCTGATACTTAACTGACTGAGACACCCAAGAAACCCTCCACTGTGAAAGCATTTTAATTCATAAACATGGGATGCTATATCTAGGATCAAAGCAAACAGTGTTTTACGCAATAATCATTTCTTCCTTTACTTTCATGTCATCATAATGTGAAGATTCTGAAACATAGTATTTGAGGGTTCTTAATAAGATTAAGCTTTTCTATTGATTACTAGATGCCAACTCTCCCCTTTAATATGTCTACATTTCACCAGAATCTGTAACTGCTGTTTTTACCTAAATTACTCTTTATTTGCAAAGATTATGTAAGACAAAGAAAAGAACTGACCCTGTGTGGTGATAAAGTTATGTTTTTTATTGCTCCTGAGAAATGGAAGATGCAAGAAAATCCCTTTCTTAATATTATATACTTCATTTGGAAAATTATTATTTAGATTACTAGGTAAATTGTTTCTAATATGCTAACCTCATATTCTGAAATTTTTAGCAAGCATAACTTAAAGTATATGAATTCACAGAAACCACATGCCTTCAATTACAAGTCACTGCAGCAGTGATAAATCCTTCATACAGGAATTGCTTGACTGATGCTCTTCATGGATAGTTGGCAGGAAGATAAGAAGAGGGATAACATTTCCTATATTGGTTTTAGTAAACTGATAAACACACAGGGACTGTGACAAGTGATCTACACAAGCAAATCTATCAGACTGCAGAAAATTGAAACTAACCTTAAAACAGAAGTAAAGCTGGAAAATCCTCTTGAGTTTGCTGAATTCAAATATTCCTTTTCATGTTCTCAGACTTGTAAAAATTAAAATATTATATATTAGCCTAGAAACTCTGCTATAGTTTAATTTATTACAAGCCTTTCATCTTAAGAACTAGGTTATTTTTAAATGCAAACATTAAATAATGCAAAGCATGCCACTAAATGACCTTCTCACATAATGAAAAAACTCAAGCTTATCAGAACAAATAGATTACACAGTTTGCTCCTTTATCATTATTTTACTATATCTAAAACATTACGCTTAATGATCCAGTGTGATTCCTTGGACCTAGTAACATAAAGAACCCAGCATCACCTATGAGTCCTAATTTCATAAGGGCTAAAAAAGTCAAGGTCATGAAAACTCCTGGAATCCTTTATACATGATATGTATTCATTCACGTTGTGTAAATTTTTTTTTCAAATTGTGAACAAAGAATTGTGGAAGATCCTATAGTCAATGCCTTAAAATCACTATGGCAGATTTGAACTTTTTAAAAAGAATAATTAGGGCGCCTGGGTGGCTCAGTGGGTTAAAGCCTCTGCCTTCAGCTCGGGTCATGATCTCAGGGTCCTGGGATCGAGCCCCGTATCGGGCTCTCTGCTCAGCGGGAAGCCTGCTTCCTCCTCTCTCTGCCTGCCTCTCTGCCTACTTGTGATTTCTCTCTGTAAAGAAAAAAAAAAAAAAAAAGAATAATTAGAATTTGAAAAAAAATTAAAAATATGGGTAATGATGAAAAATGATGGAATAGAGATAATTTAGTCCAGAGAATTTATGAACCTGAATTTAGCCAACTTCTGTAAGCCAGATTCCACAAACCTAGTAAAAAGAGTGAAGGCAACCTTCTCACATAAGATCATGTATTAATTCATCTCTGAACATTTATGGACAGTATATGCACCAAAGATCATTAGACAGCAATGTTTCTGAATGCTTTCTTTTTGTCTAAAGAAAAGAAAATGCTTACTATTTCCTACGTTCCTTCATATTTTTCCTTTAGCTTCTCTGCCTCATAATATCTGCCCAATCCCTCCTCTCCAATCTTCCCTATGGACTAGCTATATTTTCATACATTTAGCAAATACTAATTGAGCACCCACCATACTTCCTGGTCAGTGGCAATGCAATACTGAGCAAGAAAATGTCCCTGCACTTATGGAGCTTACATTCAAGTGGCAAAGTTGAAAAAAAAAAAAAAATGAACAAGTAAACTTATAATTTTGGGTGTTGATATGTGCTATGGAGAAAATGTGGCAGGATACAGGAAATGAATAGAGTGGTAAAGGCACTAGGGCACTCTTTTTAAGGAAATCTTGTTAAGAGGCAGGGATACCTAGTCCACTTTACTATCTAGAGAAAATATTCTCCTGTAAATGCATCAGCAAATACCAGAGGCCTGAGGTGAGAACCAAACTAATGTGGTAGAAACAGAACAGAAAAGAAGAGAGTGGTGGCAATGGGATAGTTCAGATCCTACTGGATCAAAATCCTAAATTCAAGTCAGTAACAACCTTACAATCCCAGAATAGCCTTCAAAAAAAGTGATTTTCCATTCTTCTTTAAAAACACAAGAACATTCTTTCAAATTAAAATCTAAAATTTGAACATAATATTAAAATAATATTTTAGTAACAAGTATTAATAATCACAAGAAGTGGTTACTGGCAATAGCTGTATAATCTTTTCAAGATATAATATTCATAAATAATATTTATTCATTCCCTAAATATTATCAGGCTTCTGCAATATGAATATAGTAATATTGACACTGAAAATATAGTGATAGAGGCATGGTTTCTGCTTTCAAATTAATTACACTAAAAGCTTTGCTAGATAAACATAAGATATTAAAATAAAACCAGATGATCCCTGTATTTTCCCTTCACATGAGTTTAATATTGGATTGATATTGTTTAGTTATTTCTAACCACTTCCTTTTTTTATTGCAAGCTTTAAAAGCAAAAATTTTGTCTGGTTTATTTGTTGTATCCTTGCCTCAGAACAGTTTCAAATACAGTCAGCTTTCAATAATTACTTATTGCAGGAATAAACAAACTAATAAAAGCCAATAAAATGAACAATCACAATGTGTGATAACAAGAAATGGAACACACTTTGGGCCAGGAAACTGTCCCAGAAAGAACTTGTCGGCCCGTCAGAGGCAAAGAGAGCCCACGGCCCTGAGGAAGAGGAGACTGGGAGTCCCGAGCCCCCAGCAGCTCCAGCCTCTGCCTCCAGCGCTGGTTCACGGCGAGACCCAGGATGTTCGCCTTCAGGAATGACTCCATCTGTTTCCCGGATATGCCCTCCAGGCGTTCCAGGTCCTCCACCTGGCTGAAGGGGCCATGGAGCTCCCTCCAGCCCACGATGAGCTGGGCCTTCTTTTGGCCAATGAGTTGCAGGCTGCGCAGATCCCGGGCAGAGCCTTCATTCAGCAGATCTTAATATTTTTTGGCGCCCATGAGCCAGTAGCTCCGGGCTGATCTGTAGCTCCCAGCAGTCCTCAGCCTTCTCCTCTGGCTCTGAAGCATCCAGGGACTCCAGCTTTCTCTTCTGGCCTTTCTTCTTCAGGATGTGGATCTCAGCATTTGGGGATGCTGCCTGCTCCTGAATCAGTTGTAAGGACATCACCACAGCCTTTTTGAGGGGCTTTGCTACAGTGACTGTGCGGCGGGCAAGCGGTCGGAGCATTGTGGAAGACGAGTTCTCTTTATCCTTTGGGTCCACAGCCTCCTGGGCCAGAACCTTGGCTTCCAGTTCTTTTTGCTTCATCTTAAGCCTCTCAATCTCCAAATCCTTCTCCTCCATTGTCTTCATGAGCACCATCCACTCTCGCCTTGGGGTGTTCAGCCTGTGGGTCCCCTGGCTCCCCTGGGAGCCCAGCAGATGGTCCAAGCTTAGGAGGCCTCCAGCACAGTGGGGTCTATGCTACTTAACTTCTGTAGGGGGCTGAGTTCCTGGGAGGCCCGGAGTGCAGGAGAGTTCTTTGAAAAGGGATCCCAGACAAGATTATGGCAGAGTGGAATTTTTAGGCACCTGGAAGAGTTACTGAGAAGTGAGGGGAAGCATTTTAAAGAGACACAACAGTTTTTAGGAAGGCATATGGTTGAGAGAACATTTCATTCATTCCCTGTTACTGGAGTAAAGAATATCTATGAAAAAATGGTTCGTGATAAGAGTCTTCTATGTCATGCTAAGTAGTTTGTATTTCACACCAAATGTGATAAGAATTGACTGAAGGAATAGTTCCATTACTCTGCCATTTAGGAAGATTAATCTAGTGGGAATGAGGAAGATGTACTGTAGGAGGCAAGAACAGGGCACAAAACCCACATAGGAAGAAGTGTGTGTAGTACTCCAGTTAGAAACAATTAAAGTAGTGATGAAAGGGATGAAGCAGAAGGAACATGGAAGAACACACACCAAGACATGATGACTGCATATCCAGAATAAGAGGATGAGAGTTGCCTATGTCAGTTTAACAACTATTCACTTTGGTACAGTTCTGAATTTGTCCAGGATTTATCTCTCCTAAAGGGAGAAAATAGACAAACATTCTTTTCTTGATACATAATTGCCGCTTAAAACAATTCAAAATGTCTATGTTCAAGCCCTACCTCTGCTTTTATGATCTAGTCATTTAACTTCGTTTGGTTTCCTATGAATAGAATTTGTTAGAAAATCAAAGGGATAATGGATGAGAAAGTATTTTAAGTTATAAATGGGTCTATAAATATCGGTGTCATTATCTTCTTATTTTTCTCCACTACTTGTACTTTCTATTCTCTTACATATTTAGTTTTTATTTAAATTTTCCCCCAATCTCCTACCTATATTATTTTTCTTCTTCACCTTCTCTTTCTTATCTTTATTCTCTTTCAACACAATGAAATAGCTTATTAGTGCCATATTAATGATCTCACTATTAGAGAACCTTCAACAAAGCTTTAGACTATTTCATGTATCTAGACCATAGGAAGTATTCATATATTTTAATAGTTACATAAAGTGTGTCACAGAGCATAAATTTTGATATTAATAACAATGGTGATAAGAAGTTGATATTTTTAAAAGATTTAATGAGCTCCAGATTTAATGAGCTTTGCATTATTTTATTTAATCCTTATTATAATCTTGAATATAAGTGGTATTATCCAATTTTACCTGGACACTGAGTCCTAAGGAAGAATATGTAGTGTACTTAGCATATGAAGTTGGAGATTAAATTCACATAGGTATATCTCCAAATACTTTATTCTTAGCATTCACTCTATCCCACAGAAATATACTCATTGAGTCAGGCTCCTATCTCCTCTTTTAAGTTTGTTCATTCTATAAGCATATATTGGGCATGGTACAGTGTCTAACCTTAGAAAAAAGCCACAACAACATATACAGGTAATGTGAATAAGTATTAAACAAATACATGTAAATAAATTATAATTATTTATAAATAAATATAAAGCATTCTACATATGAAATTATTTTGAAATTGAAGAATTTGTTAAACAAAGTACAAAGACATATGGGGCACCTGGGTGGCTCAGTTGGCTAAGCAGCTGCCTTCAGCTCAGGTAATGATCGCCGGGTCTGGGATCGAGCCCCACATCAGTCTCCCTGCTCTGCGGGGTAGCCTGCTTGTCCCTCTCCCTGTGCCTGCTGCTCTGCCTACTTGTGGTCTCTCTCCATATCTCTAATAAATAAATAAAATCTTTAAAAAAAAGTATAAAGCCATACAAATATACAACATGTTCAGGAAAAAATAAATATTTCAAGGTATCAAGGAAACAGCATTCTTCACCTTGGGGAATGCAAACCCCTAAAGACTTTTCAAAGGTAGCAGGGCCTAGAGGGTTTTAAGTCAGTGGAGGGCTTAATGACATACATGTAGCAGGGCTCTATGCTCAGAGTTTCTGACACAGTGGTCTAAGTTGGGACAAGAAACAACATTTACCCATGAATACATGAAACAGTATAGAAAGAAAAATAATCCATCAATTTTATTATTAGATGTATTTCAAATAAAATGTATTTTTATCAGTAACACTAATATACCAATTAATGTAATATGTTTAGATTTAAGATATGTACACATACGTGCACACACACACACACACACACACATGAATGAGCTCTTGTCATTTGTGACAATATGAATCAACCTATGGTATTATGTTAAGTAAAATTAGTCAGACAGAGAAAGATGAATACCATGCAATTTCACTAATATGTGAAATCTAAAAAACAAACAAACAAACAAACAAACAAAATCCCAAAACTAACAAATAAAGAAGAATACGGAGACTAAACTGGTGGTTGTAGAGGGGAGAGGGTGAGGGGTGAGCAAAATGGGTAAGGGGGAGTGGGGGACATAGGCTTCCAGTGATGGAATAAATAAGTCACAGGAACAAAAAGAATAGCATAGGTAATATAGTAGTGGTATTTTAATGGTTCATAGTGACAAATGTTAGCTATATTTTTGGTGAGCATAGCAAAATATAGTTGTTGACTTACTTGGAACTAATGTAACATTATGTGTCACCTAAATTTCAGTAGAAAAATAATTAAAATGCCAAGCCATACCAAAAATAAGTTTCATATGACAACTTGAGTTTAACACATTGGTAACTAAAATATACTAGAAATTATATTATTTGTAACTAGTTACTTTTGTGATAAAAAGGACTTAACTGTTATCTTAAAATGTACAAGGGATATTATATTATTATTTAAATAATTCTTAAGAATATTCTCAGGCAAAAGTATATAATGCACTTTGGCATAGATTATATAAGAGAGGTGTAAACTACACCAGAAAATATAGAATGAACACTTGGTACAAAACATGGAGTACTTTAAATATCTTGCTAAATCTTAAAATTTCTGTAAACAAAGGTTTTCACTTTAGGGAGTGGCCCTATTGGACTTGAGTAGGAAAAAGATAACTCTGGTTGCAATGTAATAAATGGGATGGAATAAGTGAGAAACCAGAGGCAGTTGGGATGCATTTAGGTGATTAATACAATAGACAATTGTAAAAAATAGTCCCAGCTAAAAATAATAGTAGTTTTCTAGTGAAACAGTGATAGCAAGGATTTATAACAAACAACAACAACAAAACTGGGTGCAGGGTTGGGGGAAATTATTGAGATAAAATGTCTACAAAATGGGGAGTGGATGATGAAACAGTAGTCATTCCCCTTTATCTGCAGTTTCATTTTCTGTGGTTTCAGTTACCAGTGGTCAGTTAAGGTCCTGAAGCAGATGAGCCTCCTGACATTTCAGGCGAAAGGCAACAGTAGCCTAATGCTATGTCACAATGCCTATGTCATTCATCTCACTTCACCTCATCATGAAGGCATTTTATCATCTCACATCATCACAAAGAGGACCACATTCATACAACCTATATTACAGTATATTGCTATTATTCTATTTTATTATTAGTTACTGTTGTTAATCTCTTACTATGCCTAGTTTATAAATTAAACTTTATCATGGGTAGTGGTGCATAGGTAAAAACATAGTATAAATAGGGCTTGGTACTATCCATGGTTTCAGGGGGTTCTTGGAACATAGCCACCACAGACAAGGGTGAACTACAGTAAAAGAATCAATGATGACTCTCAGTAGGCAACACTTAAATTTTTATCTTTGTATCTATCTACTATCTACCTATTTATCATCTGTCTATCCATTCTGTCTCCCTGAACCATTTGAATAAGCTATATATCTGTTTATCTAACTGCGTCCTGGAAGCCTATTTGGATATTTCTGCCGTGAATGTCTCAAATAGAACTAATTATCTACTTGTCACTATATAAATCTCTTCCCCTCCACACTCTCATATATTCTTGAAAAAAATGTGCATTCTTTTGTTGTTAGGTAAAGCATTCTTCAAATGTAAATTAGATCTCATTGACTGATGGTGTTTGACCTGCTCTTCTATAATCATTCTGATTTACTGCCTGTTCCATCAATTACTCAAAGAGGTTGTTGATAATAAATGTCACATATGAAAAACCCACAGCTAAGATTATACTCAATGATAAAAAAACAAAACCAAACAAAAAAAAACCTGAGAGCTTTCTCCACAAAATCAGGAACAAGACAAGGATGTCCTCTCTCACCACTTTTATTCAATACAGTCTTGAAAGTCCTAGATACAGCAATCAGAAAAGAAAAAGAAGTAAGGAGTATATATATTGGTAAAGAGGTAAAACTTCCACTATTTGTGGACGACATGGTACTAAACAGAGAAAACCCTAAAGGCTCCACCAAAAGAACTGCTAGAACTGAAAAGTGAATTCAGTAAGATTGAAGGATACTAAATCAATGTGCAGAAATCTGTTGCATTTCTATACACTAATAATGAAGCAGCAGGAAGAGAAATTAAGAAAACAATCCCAGTTACACTTGCACCAAAAATTATAAAAATTTTATAAAATTTTATAAAAATATAAAAATTTTAAAATAACTAGGAATAAACTTAACTAAGGAGGTAATAGAACTGTACTCTGCAAGCTAGAAAATGTTGATGAAAGAAATTTAAGATGACACAAAGGGAAACATATTCCATGTTTATGAAATGAAAAATATTGTTAAAATATCTATGCTACCCAAAACAATCTACATATTTAATGCAATCTTTATCAAGATATCAACAGCATTTTTCACAGAACTAGAAAAAACAATCCTAAAATTTGTATGGAATTACAAAAGACCCCAAATAGCCAAAGCAATCTCAAAAAAGAACAACAAAACTGGAGGTATCACAATCCCAAATTTCAAGATAAACTACAAAGCTGTAGTAATCAAAAAAGTACAGTACTGTCACAAAAACAGATCAATGAAACCGAATAGAAAGCCCAAAAATAAACCCATAATTATATGGCCAATTAACCTTCAACAAAGGAGGCAAGAAAATGCAATTGGAAAAAGTCTCTTCAGCCAA